ACCAGGACCAGAGGGTTCTGGGTTGGAGTCCCGGGGGAACCAGGACCTTTCTGGGTGGTTCTGCATGTTCTCCTGTGTCTGTGGGTTCTCTCCGGGTTCTCCGGCTTCCTCCCACCGTCCAAAAACCTGCATGTTAGGTTGGCTGGACTCCAAACTGCCCTTAGTGTGAGTGTGTGTGGTTGTTGGTCCTTGTGTGTCTCTGTGTGTCCCTGTGATTGACCACTGGGATAGGCTCCAGTTCTCCCCGCGACCCCATTAGGCAATAAGTGGTAACCATAATGGATAGATAGATGGATGGATTTGGTTTATTCAATCCTTTTTTTTTACGGAGTGAGGAAAAAACTGATTTAGACACCCGAGTAAGAAGCCGGTTTATAAAACAAGAGTTTCACAACCACTTAATGTTGTTGTGGATGGATGAGATTTCAGTCATCTAGAAGTAGAAATCAGTAGAAACTAAAGCTAAAACTTCATCAGAAGAAATTCTACAGGGGTTAAAACCAGGATGTGACCGGTGTTTCCGTGCCCAGGTTCCTGTCCATGCTGGAGGAAGAGGTGTACAGCCACAGCTCCCCCATCTGGAGCCTGGACTTCCTGGTGGGGGTGGCGGGGGGGCAGGTCCCCGTCCACACAGGTAAGCCCCCCCCCCCCCCCATAGACGTGCCTCTCTGGGTGAGTTTTGCTTTCCTTTTTCGGGGCGTTGAGGCCTTTCCCCCCCTCCCCCGCAGTGATCAGCGCCCCCCCGGTGAGCAGGCCGCTGTACTACAGCACCAGCCCCGCCTCCGTGGACCCGGCCACTGGGGGGAGCCCCAACCCAGCCCGGAAACAGACGGGAACGCTGGAGGCCAACCCAGGTACGACAGGTAAACCCTGGGGGGGGGTTTGGGTTAGGGTTAGGGTTAGGGTTAGGGGGAGAGGGGCCTCTCACAGCCAGTTTCTGCGTCCCTAATTTGTCCCTAACCCTTTAAATCCCGATCTAAGAATATAAAACAAAACAGAAAATTTCTTCTTTTTTTTTTGTTTGAATTCCTTATTTGGCCTTTTAACAAAATATGTAAAAAGGAAAAACAATAATAATATTATCAATATTAACTCATTGACTGCCAGAATAGAGAGTCCCATACTGAGTTTTTTGAGCATTTTGACTGATTTTTCAAGAGCCACAGAATAGTTTGTGCTATGACTATGTAAACACCGAACACACCAAAAGAAAGAGTACACTCTCTTCTTTCATCAGGAAAAAAAAAATTGTTTCTACCTTATTCCGTTCTTCCTCGACGTGCGTCTCACCGTCGACATGTTCTCTCATAGCGAACCATTGCGTTTTTCTTATTTGCCTACAGTCTATGCTCATCTCCCATCAAAAGTGGCACTGCCCCCTAGAGGGTCAATTTGTTACTACATACTCTGTCTAGAAGCCTGATATTTACGGACAAGCTTTAGCAGATCGTCCCCCAGCCACTCTCGTTAAAAAATATAAAAGACGTCTATAGACGTTTTTGGCAGCCAATGAGTTAATAATTTATTACTATGCGATAAGTCAAAATGATTTTTGTGTAGTCTTCTGCCCCCTGTTATCAGGTATATCTGATTGTGTACAATAGGATTTTGAGTTTTTACCATTAAATTATGCAAAAGGTGTCAGACGCAAAATATTTCAGAAACCGTATGAATCAAATATGATACATTTGGCATTACAGGGCTAATAGTCGGAGAGAAGCGGAAACCCTCGGAGCCCCTCTCCCACGAGGAGAACAAGAGGCCCCGGGTGGTGGGGGACATCCCCATGGAGCTCATCAACGAGGTCATGGCGACCATCACGGACCCCGCCGCCGTCCCTGAGGTGAGCCGCTCAGGTCCGGACCTCAGCCTCCCTTACAGTTCACATTCTGCCAAAAGAACAGGGGAAAAACATCCCGAGATTATTCCGACATCCAGAGTAGTCCCATCAGGGCCTCACAAACGTGAGAATCTCAGAGAGGACGTTTGTTGGAAGTAGCTCCTCATGGAGCTTCAGGATTTAAACCAGAGACACTAAAGGGTTAAAAGATAAACACAGTGGAAATTTAGACAGAAATACTTTATTTTCCGGAGGCAGAACGGCAGAGTTGTGTCAGATTTTAATGGGACGGCTCCAATCTGTCGTCTTTATCTCTGCTAAACTCCATATTTTCAGAATCAGAATCAGAAATACTTTAATAATCCCAGAGGGAAATTATTTTTGTTACTAACTCCAGCATATACATACATACATGTCTATACATATATATATATATATATATATATATACAGTGGGGGAAATAAGTATTTGACCCCTTGCTGATTTTGCAGGTTTGCCCACTTACAAAGAATGCAACGATCTATAACTTTAATCATATGTACATTCTAACGGTGAAAGACAGAATCCCAAAGAAAATTCCAGAAAATCACATCATATGAATTTATAAAAATTGATA